AACGATTTACATGCAGTTTTGGGCTCAAAGCAATGCGCAAAGTCAGCATGAGTCCCATATCCAAGCGCAACATTTCATAGCAACATCATGAAACGTTTAATGATACGCAAAGCTAAACGTGTACGAAACTCGCGAGAACGATTCCTACCACTACACTAGCGCTCGTCCGCATCTTAGTAACCAATACTTCTATCATTTTCTCTTTGTGCATTGACAACTTGTTGTCATCCATTGTCAATGTCAGCGCGCGCCCACTAAAATCCAGCCGACCGGCGAAGGGTTTTCCGCCGTGGCGAACCAGCTATCCAACAGCAGGTTCCTGCCTGACAGGACACAGCATAACAGGTCACTGTCCGGCAGCAGGTCACCAATCAGCGAGTAACAGCGCCATCCACCGGGCTCTGACAGTTGTGTGCCCTCGCCGCGACCTTGCAACAGGCCGCCCTCGGCGCGCGGCCGCTCTCAATTATCGCCCGAACGGGAAACGGGACCGCAAAAACCCGCCAGCCACCATACAAACAGATTAGCGCAGAGGTCTGCTTCAGTTCAGATCAGCTGCAGTGCAAACTGCAAGAGGTCCGCTGGTGAAGATAACAATCGGCAGTAAAATTACGACAATCTAACTAAACTAAAAATGACGCTGTCACTACTACCGCATACGTATTCGTTCACAATGTCCGTGAAACAGTGGGAACATTGCTAAGACCTTGAAATATTCCATTCGAAAGATGACGACTATTCAGTATTGAGCATTCCTCGTGATGTACCATAGGTAGTCCTGCAAAGAAGGATATTTCAGCCGAGGAACATCGGTACCTACCACGATCCACACCCTGTCGATGTCGGCAGTTTCTGAAAGCCATGGCAGATGATATCATAATGATAGGGCTGGAGAGCGACGGACGAGAGCACGGCGGGGCGAACACAGCCGCTCGAGCACGGCGGCGGGGAGCACGAGATGCGGCAGGACACGCCATCGCCGTGTCGCCGGCTGCGGACCGCGCCCCACCAATTTCAGCCCCGTCTGCCCACCGCCGTTCGAGTCGCTCGGCTGACTCAGGCCGGCCGTATAATACGGGCGGGCGGCGTCCCTGAGTCAGACCGGCCGGTCCAGGAACGGCCGGCCGGCGGTGACGGAGCAGAAACGAGCGAGCTCGAGTACAGACCGGCTCTGTGATCGGGCTGCTTTGGCCGGCGGTCAGTGGCGAGCGACGGACGACGGCCGAGAGGCCACACCCGGCGCATCGGCCGACGAGACGGTACGCCGCAGTTCAATATCCAACACTCACACACAGCAACAGACCCCGCCAGAGCCACACTCATAGCAGCACTGCCCACCAACACTGCCCGCTGTCCAGCTAACCATACCCAAAGCAGAACCGCCCACCACACTCAAGGCAGCGCCGCCCACCACAGCATCTGCCGCGCAACCGACCAAGAAAACAAACAGTAGCCGCCGGCGGTACCGTCATCAGTCGCCGGCCAGGAGACGAGGTCATAGTTCACCCCACCCACCAGCGTCGCTGCAGACGGTGACCACAGCTCGGTCGGAGTTCATGGTGTGCCGGAGGGGAGGAGGCGAATCGTCTACGCCCCGGTCACACCCGGCCGTAGCGGCAGCACGGCAACGGTACTCGGCGTGCTCGGCTAAAGCCAGACGCGGCCGGGAGAGACAGATAGGGCCCTCAGTCGGCTGTCAGTTGGACGAGATGATCTGCAGCCAGGGAAGTATCAGCCGATAAGTCGTATTACCCAGAACGAGGCGAGAGTGAGCAGCGACCGCTGCAAGACACGCAGCGACTCTCTCCTGCAGAGAAACCTGCATTCCTCTCTCATCGGACTGCATCCGAGCAGCAAACACACACCCAGTGAACAAATCCCTGTGAATTCAGTTGATCCAAGATCACCGAGCACCACTGAGGATCGCCCATCTAAAAATATAGCAGCTATTTCTGAGCCGTCAACACCTAACAGCATGACGCTCTTTGAGAAATAACACCTCAGATACTGCACGAAAACAACGCTATGAAGGACCTTTCGTGCGGTGTACGCTGAGCTGCATCGTCACACACGAAACCCACGGAATCACGCGAGGAGCGGAGCGGCGGGGCGACTGCACGGCACGCCGGACACCAGCCATGATCACAGCGGACGCCCTCGGACTGTTGGTCAGCATTTTTCGCCGCCGTGCAGCCCGCCAGTGCCGTGGCCGCCTTGATTCCTCTGACATCACCCGGCTCGGCAGTCGTCCCTCCGTCCGGTCCGCGCCGTCTGCAGGGGACCAGCGGGCGTCATGAGGACACATGGCCCGGCACTGCGGACCGCTGCGGCCCACCGGACCACGCGTCAGACCGGCTGTGAAGAATGGTCAGCCTCCGCACAAGCCGGGTCACCGGATTGTGACGACGAGTGGTGCTTTATGGGTAGCTCACCAACCGCCACAACGAAAACAGACTGAGCATGGACGGTGGCTCGTGGTCGACTCGTGGCTGTGGTTTCACGGCAGCACACAGTCAGTCGAGCTGAGCGGCAGACTCCCGTACCGGACAGCGGAAAGCAGGGGCACACTGCACAAGGGCAAGTCAAGACTGCAGTGCAGCATACTGTAGCTGGATAGTCGGATAATTGAGAACTGAAAACAACCAGAGATCTGTGAGCTAATGTAAAGTCTGAACAAGACTGACTTCGACAAATCAAGCTAATTCGCCAAAATCTGAACGGAAGAGGCGAGCACCGGAGCAGCAGGCCGTACCACTAAAACGGTATGAAACGTATGAGCGAATGAAACTGGCACCTGGCAAGAAAGTCGCATAGCCTTACACCCAGAGCAATGGGCAGCAGGAGAGCAAGGCAAGGGCACTTTGAAGGCAGCAGAACAATGCCTTCATCAGAATCAGGTGGACCGCAGGATAGTAAATCAGGCGGACAGTGGAAGAGCAGGAGGGGCTCGATCAAATGTCGCTCCCGTTCCCAGCGATATTCGAATGTCGGGTCATCTGTCAGTCCGCCCACGCCATCCGTCCTCGCTGATGATTGAGAGGCCCCAGGGATCGCCCGTGCAGGGCGGCAATATAGATCACTGCAGGACCAGCAAATCTTTGGGGTCTAGCTAGTCTTTTGCTGTCTTCGACCGAAGAAATTGCTGGGAGTTATGAACTTGAAATACTCAGCAGTACCTAACCTAAGCATGGTTTGCGCATTACAATACAAAGCGTAGTGCTCGATCCTCGGATTTCGAAGAATCATTCACAGAAATGAGTAACAGTACATTGAAGCAAAGAAATGTTTCATCGACCTGCACATATCTAGACCATTAACCGGAGAATCATCCCAAATCCTTCACGCACCGGTTAGATCATCTCTGACCCAGAAATACCTCCGTGACGGCCGCGGTTTTCAGACTCTCATGACGTCATTCGACGATCCGCAGATGACGAAACTTCCCACTCTCCGGGAGCCGCTGCGGTTCTTTCCGGAGTTCCGTCGCTGCACGGGAATAAAAAAAGACCTTGGATTCCTCTACTATCGTCCTGCGCATACCGCACCCGGCATAGTTCCTCCTAGTTCTGCCAGTAGGTGCGGGTTTGGTGGCAGCAATGTAGGGACCCGGACAAAACAGTTCACGGTGCACCTGCATAATTTTCCAGGCGGTTTGGAAAACAAGAAAAAGACAAACAGGATCTCCAAGTTTGTTTTATCAACAAAAGTCATCAATAAAAACTTTTCGAGTTCCACTGCGCTTTAGCATTTCCTCCTTGGTATTTTTCCACATCGGGGAATTCGCCGGTTTCCGTAATCGTGAGCGGTTTCCGCCGTTTCTTTTTTCACCCGACACCAATCACACCTTCATCGTGACCATACCGACAGTCACGCCCCGCCGGACCGGTCCGGACCGGGTGCTGGCGGACGGCGCCGCGTCACGTCGGACACCGGCGCGCCGCGCACGTCGACGGCTCACGACTCTATCACAGCGAGCCCAGCCAGGACCGCCTACCGCGCTCGCCGCGCGACTCGCTTCATCGCGTGTTCACCAGCGGAATGCTCGCCGCGGCGGGTACACAAGGCGGACACGGCGGGCGGAGGATGGTGAAATACGTCTTCAGTTACCTTTCATCGGTGAGGATCGTATCAGCTTCAACGTGCTGGGCTGGGGGTTGTCGGCGGTGGAAGGGATGTTAGGGCAGATGGGGAGGCGATGGCGAATGCACGCCGCACTGTGATTTACTCGTCATCACGCGCGTGTCAATGGCTGTGATCGGGCGCTGGTATGAGGCGGCACGGAGGCGGCGCGGCGACCGGATCCGGTCCGGCTGACGGCGACACCTCCACGCGCGCGCGCCGTCCCGGCCCCGGCGCGGCGGCAGAGCAGCCGAGCGCCGCTCAAAATCGATGCCGGCTCCCTCGGCGGCGGCCGGCGCAGGCTTCTCGAGCGGCCCGGCCGCGCTGCCACCCGGAGCTCGGCGCTCGGGTCCGGCCGCAGTGGCGGCACGAGTTCACGGAAACACACCGAGCCGGGGAGGCGGCCTGTGGTCGGCAGATGAGCGCTCAGGTGTGGGCTGAGTGGAAAGGCAGGTGAGCCTCACTCAGTGCTCATGAAACCTGCAGGGGCGTGTCCCCACGTCGATATTCACGGAGTGAGTCACCGCGAGAGGGGAGAGACGCCCCGGCAACACGTGCAGACAACGTATTACGGTCTGACATTGATGGATCTACCGCGGTAGACCAGACAGTTCGCAATGGCGAGGACAGCGAGCAGTGGCACTTACGAAACGTAAACATCAGATCTACGCCAATACGCAAATCGACGAATCAGTCAAACTCCATCTGATATCACCAAAAATGAATCAATGAATCATCGTGCCACCGGATCACCTGTGGCGTTTTAGTCATTTTTGGCAACTGAGCTCAATGCACTACATCGCACTTCATTCAAAGACAAAAGCGCAACTTCTCACATCCCTCCGCGTAAAGCTGCGACGGCCACCCCGATTAGAACTCACCTTTGACCTGTGTCTCCAGGCCCAGGTCCCTCCTACCGCGCCGGTCCGAGGCCATGGCGCTCTCTGAAACAAAGGGGACCACAGGGGTGAGTCAGAGAGCGGCCCGGCAGTCCACCGAGCGTCGATCACGCGGCGGCCGGGCGATGGGGGAACCGGCGTCGAGCGTCGAGCGTCGGCGTCGAGCGTTTCACGACAGCCGGTGAGCGGCGACGGGAGGGGACAAGACAGGAAGGCGAGGGACACGTAGATTAGAGCATCACTCATCCTCAGTAACAGCGAGGATGTCCGTCAGGCGCGTCCCTGGAGACGAGGGACGCCACAGACACGGGACACGGCGCCGGCCCGGAGACAGCCCTTCTCCCGTCTGTCTCCGTCTCGCCAGGTCCCGTGGGGGAGTGTCGTATAGAAGACGTGCCGGAACAGCCGGTCGCCGAGCGCAGGACGCCATCGACACAGGAAGGAGGGGGTCTGGTCCGGAGCGGCGTGTTTATTGTTGTGGCGCTCGTCCGGGCCACGGGGCACGGCTCCGAGGACAGTACGGCAGCTCAGAGCCCAGCCCGGTCCCTGGTCAACCTGGACTGTTCTTGTCAGAGGAACACATTGGAACCCAATGCAGAAAGTATTCCCACGATAATGCTTTGGAGGACATCACCAGTTTCCTGTCTTGTGTTACAAGTAGACAGATAACTGGTAACAAGACAGGAAACGGCAGCACTGGCGGCGGCTGTAGCAGTTATAGCATATCAGTCAGCCTTCAAGAGTCATATTGCTCAGCCCTTCGCGGGGGAGGGGTAGCAGTGGCCCCTGTCTACCGCCATCTACCCTTCCCCTTTCACCTACTAACCCCCAGCCAACACCCTACCGCCACGACCCCAATAGCACAGGAGGAGGCCGGATAAACCGTCAGCCGGCCATGACGTGAGCCGGCGCCGGCCGCCGCGAGACATGCAGTGTTGGCAAGGCCGCAGCGGTCCGTTCTCGCGCTGCGGCGACCGTGGTCAGCCCGCAGCGGAGCCGCGGCCCGCAGCATGACGTCAGAACCGGCTCCTAGCGCGCCGGCCGCCCGACCACGGCGCTCACCAGAACAGACGGCACGGAGACGAGCAGCGGAAAATGAAAGTACCGGGCGGACGGACGGGTCGTGGACGGCTACCGCGTTCAGAGGACTCGCTAGTGCTACAGTTGTGAAAGATTCGTCCAGTTTTTATGATTCAAACAGACAAGAAATAGTTGGATGCCGATGAGTGGAAATTTCCGGTGACTACTGAGTACTGAACTACTACTGACAATTCTTAGGTCAAAGATATTTCAAACTGACGTCATCTGAGACCAACAAGCGCCCTAAAATTGGCCGAGTTTCGTGATCCTACAGCCCACGCCTTCCCGAACGGCGCACATTTCTCCGCTGGCTACCCTCGATAGACGGCCACAGCGCCGGCCGGTAGCCGAGCCGCCGAATAACTCGGCGTGGAGCAGCCAATGGGTCGGAATGACGCCCTGTCGTCAGCACGCCACGCGAATTGATGGACCGGCCGCCTGCAGGGCGGCGCGCGGCCCCCCTGGCCTTGGCCGGTCCCACTAACCCGGCCAGTAGTCACCACGGTCGCGGCTCACAGCTCTACGGAGAGCCTGGCGCGGCGTGGGGGCACGGAGGGAGTAGTTCAACGTCAGACAACCATTGTCAGGTCACCTGTCTGACACAATGGGCCACCTGCCAGTCATCTGGCAACAATACATCCAGCAGTGATATACCAACCAAACGTGATCACGATGGGATTGTCACAGGCGATATAGCTATGATATGTGCTCGAGACGAGCTATCGTCAAACGGTCCGTATTTGATACAAAGAGAACAAAAGAACACTGTCACGAAAGCCATAATATCCAATGAACATCATCACACGACGCTCTTCCATCATTACTAATCGAACATGGGAAATTCCACCAGCCCAATCACAACAAACACCTAAGCAGGACCACAGGACAGCACACCACACACGATAAGCACAACAACCGGTCAGCTTATAAGGCAGATTCCGGGGCAAGCTTAAAACCGACCGTGTCCGCGTTCATTGGATGATGTCATTCTACATCATAATGTTAAACCGGCTTGGATGTTACTGTACCGAAACGGAGCATTGTGCACCTACAGTCCGTGAACAATGCACTCAAATCTCAATTGATCACATGACATAGACACAAGGGTCCAGACGCAAACATAACTACCCAAACGCGACGCACTTCAGCAGTCACGTCCGTCCTTAAAAACGGCATCAATTGATGCCACCCGGCAGCAAATACGGAAACAACTAGCAAAAACGGAACAAAAGAACACCCATCCTAACTGAGCCAGACGCTGAGTCAGCTGTACCTAAACACGGTAGAACAGGCGAGTCCGACCAGAGAGCACACAGACGACAAAACACACGACGGAGAAAGGCGACGTAGGGCGCGGATGGAACTGGACGCGGCAACACACACACACCCGTCTCTTCGACACCATCGGCCACCCAGGAGCGAGGAGCCCCGCCCGACGTAGGTGGTCCGTCCGAGTACGGCCCTCACTACACCCATCGCAGCGCACAGCAGAATCGCTGTCTCGCAGCATGCTCTTCATCAGCACGCCGCCACACCCGCTGAATAGCGGACGGTCGGTCTGGCCAAGAGTTCTCGAGTCTGCCAGCGCCGGAGCTGTGCAGTGAGCAGAGCGGCGCAGAGCCGCCGCCGCTGACTCTCCGCCGGCCAGTTCGATCTCCGGCTCTAAATATAGCGCGTCCAGGCGCGCCGCGCCGGCCTAACACAATCAACGCCCGCGCACACGCGCTCCGTGCCGTCTCATCGCTACGTCGCTGTGGACATGAGCGCTCTGGGACGAGCTTGGGCGAGACGGGGACGAGGCGGGGACGAACACAGTGCCCTTGGCGGCTACCGTCTGTTGCGGGCCTATAAATCGAGCCATCAGCCGGCGGCTCGCGGCGCGCTTCCACCTCACCTGGCGGCGGCTGACGGAGCCGGCCCGGTGCAGAGGGAAGGGGTGCGCTGCGCCGCGCCGGGCGGGCGCCCATGCCGTGACCATGCGCGGACAGAGGGGACCAGAAGGGAGGGGAGGGCAGAGGGGACGCGCCGCGCGTCATCGGCGCCCGTGGGAGCGCCGGCAGCGGCGCGGGAGGCAAACAGAATAATGGCCGCCGAACGGCCGTGACGCCGCTCTGACACGGCCGTGACGCCGCTCTGACACGGCCGTCACGGGCGCTGTGACACGGTTGTGACTGATGCTCTGACACTGCTGTGACGGGCGCCGTGACAGCCTTATGACGGCGCTGTGAAGGGAGAAGGACCTGCCGAGGCCGGGGGAGGGGGGGGGGTGACGGCCGACGGGTGACCGCTCGCTACTCCCACTCACCGCGCGGCCGGCCAAAGGTCGGCGGGTGACGGGTCGGCCGGAGCTGCTCCAGACCGCAGTCTCAGCGTCGACTCCCTGTAGATCCCGGTACCAGTCGGAGCGAGTAGTCCGGGCTAAGAACACCAGCCACCACACACAGTAAACACGACCCACAGCACAGCAGCCCGCCTCTCGCAGCGGCGGAGACACGGAGCGGCGAATGGTCTCACGGCGTCCGCGACACTCACCCCGCCTCGGCGGCCTCCGGGGACCGACTGCGCGGGCCGCGCCGCCGCCGCCGCGCGGGGCCCACCCCCCGGCCGGCCGGCCGGCCGTGACTCAACCAGCCGACGCAGCCGGCGGCGGCGCAGCGGCAGAGCACAGCGAACCACCGCCGCCGCTGCCAGCTACCGTGCCCAGACCGGTCAGTCGGGTCACGCAGCCACTGCCGCCTACGCATACCGGACACAGAACGAAGTTCCAGAGAAATAACAGGTTGAAATAGTAAAACTACTTACAATTCACAGAGTGGTCTTTGGTTGCCCAAGCCTTATGTCGCACGAATCTGCTTGGTTTCTCAACCCTGGGCAAAAGATATGTCGATAACAAATAGGTATGTCGAGAGAAAGCACCGACGCTGAACGTTACACGAAAAACAATTCCCCACTGCACCGGAACAGCGCCGGCGCCAGCGGTTGCCCTTGACCTTGTACGAGATCCCGCCGGCGGCTCTGTCATGCATGATGCATCGTGTCCCGAGCCGACACAATACACGGAACAAAGGGCGCACAGCCGGGCCGAGCCGGGCCACAGCTGAGGGGGAGGACCAGCACCAGCCGTCCACTAGACGTGCTGTGTGTCAGTCTGACCGAGGCACAACAGGGTGACAATGAGCGGCGACACCGCCCGCCCGATCAGCAGCTGATGGAGGCGACACGGCGCGCGCCAACCGGCATTGGCCAATGTCACGCAGGGCCGCCGCCGGGCCTCGGCAGCTCAGCTGCGCCGAACAATGGGAATCGTGGAGCAGGTGTGACTACTATCACACATTCACACGGCCAGACACAGCAAAATGTCAATGGTGCATCACTCGAAGCGCTGATAGGCAGATGCAGCAGGAAACAAGTGTGCGATGTAAGACGGTAGCCGCATCACAGCTCTAAAACTGGAGTAGATATTTTGTGTGTTTCAATTTTATTGAGGCAAGGGAAACTCTACCAGTTCCTGGTAGCCCAAACACTTTCCTAAAGATAAGCCAGTCCAGGACATGAACCATAATCCTTTCACTTGCACTGGAAGTCCCATCGCTTCATCTATTCGTTCTCCTGATGCTGTGATACGCCTGGAGGAAAGGTCATGACTGGCTCGCTATTTCCAAACACAAACCATGACCGGCAATGTTTACTCAATGGCGACGGGCGGACTGAATGAATGAAACCGAACACCTCGGTCGGGTTGTGCAGACTACAATAGCCCACTCGGCGGGGCCGATCCACTCCTCTCCACGGCACGGCCATGGCACGACGGCCTTGCCGCCAGCACAACCGGCTCTCCTCAAGTGGAAAATTACACCGGCTCAAGACGCAACCGTGACGGATCGGCAGCTGGCCAGGCAGCTGCTGCTGACGCGCTTACAAATGCTCTGGCACGGACCGCTGCGAAACAACACGGATCGCTGTCGATACCATAGAGAGCTAGCCTCAGCAGTCGGCACAAGGGAGAACGGTTTTATAGAGACATGTTCGCTGTCTCACTCCCGAGAAAAGAAGATATGATGTGACACGACCGCCCACCAAGCGATACATAATTCAGCAATTATTCATCCCACGACGGTTAGTCTAAACGAACTAAAGCGGTGCCTGGTCAGTGAGGTCTTTAAGTGGCACAGCCTGTGTGGCCTCAACCGGCAAACTATCCCAAAGCAATCACGAAATAGGCGGAGGTTCCTTGCGTAAACGGTGGATAGCAGTCGGGCTTCGGAATGTGGACTTTGATGATCATGGACAATCAAGGGGAACAATGGCGAGGGTTTTCGAACCAAACAGCGTCCCGCACTAATGTAAATATTAGCGAAGGACAGCACACACTATGTTACTGGCCACAGGTGAATGGCAAAAAGCTTGTGAATGATTAAGGAACACGACAAAAGAGTCCATTGTTTGAGTCGAAGCCGATGACTCGGCACTTAACGGATGACGATTCGCAATTACGGTATGCTTGCAATGCAACTTGGTAGCGCTCCTCAACCCAATGGGGAAAATAATTTCTTTGGAGATCACCAGGCACTTGTACAACGATTTTCCTCTCTAAAAACTCCACAAACCGACATCCTAGCCCCATCCGTCTCAGACAAACAGCTGTTAATTTGACCAAGGAGCCAGTTTTTGCGGGGCTCGCCGCTCGGGCGGCAAGCCTGGGCTGGCGCTATCACAGCAATCACTCCGCCGTAAATATACACTGACCGGCATTAACCCGGTGACGCAACGGGCACCGAGGAGACGGCCTGGTGACACCGCCTGGTGACACCCCGGCTGGTGACGGCTGCCTGGTGACGCCGGTCCGGTCACCGAGGCCTCTGCGGGTCTCTGGACCGCCCGGCGCCCGGAGCTGGTCGCACCACCATGGCGCGGCGCTGTGGTATGCACGGTGCGGTGCGTTGATGTCGACAGTCGAGAGCACGCCCCCGACAGGCAGCACGCCCCGCAGCACGCCGATAGGATCTGGTTACGGAAAACGAACGGTCGGGAGTGGCGTCTGCGGTCCGCTCAACGGTGCGATGGCAGGCTCAATTTCAGCAATACGGTGCTGCCCATAAACGGCGGTAATAAAACGCAATCAATCACCAGGGTCCAGGGCTAGATTCGCATGATTTGTTGCTTGGGACGCACTGTGGAAACGTATAACCGAGCCAAGAAGGCATTGCTTATTAATCAAATACACAATCAAACATCGACCTGCCTCGAAGTTCATACTGAAGCCACTGCAAAGCACTAGCGCTGGTTAGGGTATGTATGTCTGAATAAAGCAGGGACGCCGCCGTGCCAGGTGCCGCCCGGGGTCGAGGTGCAGATAGAGCGCGTGGTCGCAGACGAGCGTGCCGTGCAGTGCGCGCACCCTATCCGATTACCGTCACCGCGGCTCACCGGCCCGGTGCGGGGTTACGCATCACTCGGCATCGATTTGTGAGTGGTGTCACCAGCATATATCAGGACAGCAAGCTGAGATGAGTGAGAAGGCAGCAGCCCCGTGCAGCGTGCTTCTTGTCTTGCCACTTTGCTAGCGAATAGTTCGAGGTAACCGACAGCCAAGACACTTGTAAGCAATGAAAAGAGGGGAGCATAGCAAATCATTACCATCATGCATGGCTTCTTTAGCTTCCCTTCATGAACATTGAACAGAACAAAAGCTGGACAATGAACGAAAAGAGACATCAATACAGCCGCTAGCAATAGATTATCAATCACAGCGGATACACCAGGATATGTTATCGACCTTCATTGTCCAGCGGCCGTCACGTATCTGAGCGAAGCGACCCACCCAGATCATTGGCAAACACGCCCAATCCTGCGTACTCAGTCTTGTGCAAACAGCTCAATGGAGGTCACGCGCGCTACCGACGCACCGCGGTGGCAAAAAATATGCTCGCATAGGAGTTAGCTTAAAGAGGCGATCGGCGCTCGCGACTCGAACGAACCACATGAGATCGGGGGCGAGCTGACGCAACACATCACCGATACTGCAGAAGTGGGGAGCATGAATAGATCCATGATCAATGCATCTGGCATCCAGTGGGCAATTGGGACAGCAGCATGCATTTGTTAAATCTTAACCATGCTAGCAGTTGAAATGTGCACATACAGCTGGTATGGTTATATGGCTACAGAAGTGCTTGGCACTATCACTTTACAAAATAGCAAATGCATTATCTTCCCCCTTCCATGAAAATATCAGACAACAGAAGCACGAACTGAGACCATTGATTCAGCACTTTCACTTTCGGAACCAGAAAAAGCTAGGCTACAAATCAAAAAGCTGATCTAAAGCAGATATCATGGGCTTCAAAGGTCATTTGCGATGGTCCATATTATGTCTGATGAATTCAAGTAACTAATACTGCAATGAAAATGTTAAGAAAAATCGGTATCGGTAACCCTGGCGTCACCGGTAGCGTTTTCGTTCAAGGTAAAGGTTTCCTGCATTAGGCAGCATTACTTAGGCCACCGTGTCAAGCCGTAGCATGCTGTGACGTCACTCATCACTGGGTAAGAGAACGTACCACGCTATCAGTATCAACTGAGACTCAGATAGACTCAGTCACTCAGAACGACTCAGGCAGACTCAAACTGACTCAGACCGACTTAACCGACTCAAATAGATTCCGATCGACTCAGATCGACTCAGAACGACCCAAACTGACTCAGACCGACTCAACCGACTCAAATCGATTCCGATCGACTCAGACCGACTCAGAACGACCCAACCGACTCAAATAGATTCCGATCGATTCCGATCGACTCAGATCGACTCAGGCAGACTCAAACCGACTCAGGCAGTTTGAGTCGACCGACTCAAACTGACTCAGACCGACTCAAACTGACTCAGACCGACTCAACCGACTCAAATCGATTCCAATCGACTCAGACCAATTCAGAACGACTCAGGCGGACTCAAACCGACTCAAATCGATTCCGAGCGACTCAGGCAGACTCAGAATGACTCAGGCACTCAGACAGACTCAGAACGACTCAGGCAGACTCAAACCGACTCAGGCAGACTCAAACTGACTCGACCGACTCAGAACGACTCAAACTGACTCGACCGACTCAAACTGACTCAGACCGACTCAAACTGACTCAGACCGACTCAAACTGACTCAGACCGACTCAACCGACTCAAATTGATTCTGATCGACTCAGACCGACTCAGAACGACTCAGGCGGACTCAAACCGAATCAAATCGATTCCGAGCGACTCAGACAGACTCAGAATGACTCAGGCAGACTCAGACAGACTCAGAACGACTCAGGCAGACTCAAACCGACTCAGGCAGACTCAAACTGACACGACCGACTCAGAACGACTCAAACTGACTCAGACCTACTCAAACTGACTCAGACCGACTCAAACTGACTCAGACCGACTCCACCGACTAAAATCGATTCCGAGCGACTCAGACAGACTCAGAACGACTCAGGCAGACTCGGGCCGATTCAGATAGACTCAGGCAGACTCAAACCGACTCAGGCAGACTCAAACTGATTCAGATCGATTCCGAGC